TAGAGGATGTGTTGATCAGACCTTCATTCTGCGCCGCATACTGAAACATCGACAACAGAATCAACAGTTCACCACCGCCTGTTTCATTGCCTTCGAGACCGCCCTTGATTTCATCGACGGAAGTACTTTGTGGAAAATCTTGCGCGCTGAAGGTCTCCCAATAAAATTGCTCAATCTCATCAAAGCCTACTATAGCACAACATCAGCCCGAGTAAGAGCCCTTGGTGAAGAGTCAGATTCTTTCCCACTGACGTCTGAAGTTCGACACGGATGCCCCCTTTCCCCAGTTCTCTTCAACTTATAGATCAACTGAGTAATGCATCAATCAATTCCACCTGCTGGTGGATGTGAAATGAGCCCTGGATTCAGAGTACTTTACCTAGAGTATGCAGGTGACTTGTCGTACTTCGTAATACCCATCAGTCACCACAACCAACGCTAGACCGAATCGCCAGCTTCGCTGCAACTGTTGGTCTGACGATTAATTTACTGAGGACGAACTTCCTGACTGCGCATCTTGGCATAGCCCAACCAATTTTTATCAGTGGTCAACCCATCGAAGAAGTTAGCTGCTTCCGTTATTCGGGCTAGAATATACTAGCCAACGGGCAGGCAAAAAAGAAATCAGGAATTGAATCGTGCAAGCTTAAAATGCATTTAGGCTGCTAGCCAGACCTTTTTGATCTCGCTCAGATACCAGCTTAGGCAATAAGCTTGTACTTGTTACCGCTGTGATCATGCCTGATCTAGCCGGCCTCAATAATGTCACGGACGGTACCTCTCCATACGTGACGATTGACGACAGCGAATCTGAAGAGCTCCACCCAGTCTTTTCTCCAGCAATGGAAACCGAAGATAGAAGGTCCAGGAACTGCTTTCATGCCTTGACGGATGGTGTCGAGCCAAGTCTTCAGTTGCCCTCCTATTCAACGTCTGCAAGTAAGCTGCGTCGCCGAATCGAGGGAAGCATAACAAAGCTTGTGGAACAGACGACGGAGAACGTGCCAAAACTGCAGTCATCCTTCTGAGATGACTTGATATCTCAAAAAGTTGGGACCAGAACTCGCGCAATTGTGAAATGATAGTACGTCTGAATCATGACAATGACTTGGTCGGTACTCTATCTAGTTCCATTATTTGCCACGGGGACTCAAGATGGACGGAATCGAACGCTTCTGTGAAGTCGACAAAGCAGGCGGCTGTCGATTGCTGGTAGCCATGGCGGAATTTCAAAATATGCCTCAGTATGAATATCTGGTCCACGCATCCACGCCCATTTTGGCATCTGACTCGGTTGGGTCTCATCCTAGATTCTCGTAGCGACTGCGACCTTCTGAGGAGGACAATAGTGATGATTTTAGCAGCAATGTCGATGAAGTTTATGCCGCGATAGTTCTCGCTTTTCGTCTTGTCTCCGTTTTTGAAGACAGGCAGAAGGATACCCCAACCCTAGCCATTCGGAACTACTTCGTCTTTCCACGCTTGCTCGATCACCTCATAAAGCGGACGCCAGGGTGTCAACACACGACTTGTGCGTTTTAGCGGAAATACCGTCTTCTGCGGAAGTTTTGTTG